AACAAGCTTGTTTTAGATAAAACCTGATTTGCATTTGTGACATACAAAGATCTCAGGGATGACAATGGGGCAAGCTTTATCGCTCTTGCAAAGTCTGACAGCATCACAACAGGATTAGCTACTTTCTAATTTTCAACCTATTGATCAATTTACACTGTCCAGGCCAATTGTGTTAGAAAATCTATGAAATGTGTTTTTCCTCTAAATGCAGAAGCAATTCGATTCTAATTTGTTAAAGTGGTGTCTAGGACTAAACCTCTCAGTTGTCTAAGAGACTGACTGAAGTTCATAAAGAATTAATTTCTTGGTTTTGCCTGTAAAATACGTGCTGATGAGGTGCTTAGATGCTCAGTAAAAAGAAAAAAAGTTATTAAAACAAGGGACTTACACGTTCTCCTTTGGGTCCTCTGTCTCCTGGTCTCCCCACAGCACCCTAAAAAATCATTTTTGAAAAAAGATAAACATATCACTTAAAGGCTTTTTTGTATATTCATCTGTTAGCAGAACTGAAAGCAACTGCCTAGGATTAACAGCTCTGGTATCTGTGAAGAATAAAATACACTAGTATGTAAAAGCATGTTTTCCTACCGGAAGACCTGGCAATCCATCTTTTCCATTGATTCCCTATTAAAAAAAAAACCAAACAATTTTTTAATAAATATGCTTATGTATACGCATTTTAAAAATATAAAGGGTAAAGCTCAATGTTTAGTGCTGGTATCAGTACATATTTTGAAGCTGCAGAGGCAGCAGTTTGTGTGGTTACAATATAGAACTACTCACAAATAGTCTTGAGACGTGAAATAACAGAGCTCAGGGCGATACTGAACTGCAAGCACATTAAATTTGAGCTGAGAGCAGAGCAAAAAAAATCTTCGGCATTGAGGTGTGCATCAACTTTAATGAACACACAACTTTAAATGACAAGTTATATGGTAATTCCACAAATGTGGAATATGGACCTGTACATGCACTTTTCCAGTCCCAGCTAATCATTATACAACCATAGAAGAGATTTCTCTTGTGCTAGATATTAGCCCTGATGCCCTATTGCCCTTCTGCTGTTACAGAGATTATGCCTTAATAGTAAGTGGCCAGATCCATTCTTTGGTCCTTAGGACTTGTGGCACAGCACAGCTTCAGCCTCCTGGGCTAAACATATTTCCTTCCCAAAAGAGGGTGGTCTCATTCATACCATCTGCTGGAAACAGTCCCAGGCCCACGCTATCCCCCAAACTGGAATGTGGCATTATCTGAGAGTCCTAGTTGGCATGGGCCAAAATAATGTCAGAGTATGTTAACAATTGCACAATGCCAGATAATTGCAAGATAAATGCTCTGGCACTGTTTAATTTACTAGGATATACATGGATCTGCATATGCAGCAAACTCTGCTATTTCACTGAATGAGAAAGAAGGACTTGGCATGAGCAAAGACATCAGGAATATTTGCTTCCCTCTCATGCTGCAAAGTGGAGTTTTGCACAGGTTAGGCATCTTGGGCCAATTTGCTGCTGAAGTTACAGAAATTGTCTCTTCTCTCAAGACAGAAGTGTAACGTGGAGACGTGCTGACAAACTGAAATGGTCTGCTGCTCGTGCTTGTCCCCAAAACACCAAGCTTCGGGGGAGATAATGAGTTCTGCACTATCCTTTCTGAACCATTTCTAGAATATAAACTAGGTTGTTTTAAACCAGCTTAGACAATGCTGACTACACTGTTGCCACACTTTTATTAAATAAAGAGGTCAGATTAGACACATCCTAAGTGAACAGTAAATGCTTTAGCTGCAGTGTTTCATCACCTGTATACAGAAAAGTCACAAAGTTTATTCAGAGTCATGAAACACATGCTTCTCTATCTAAACCGAAACTGAGAATGTGTTTTGTCACCCCATCCTTTATAGACTGTGTTGAGTGTCTGGGTTAATATTCTCCTTCTGAAAAAATAAGAGAGGATCCTTTATGTCAACAGGATCCAAAGGACCCTCATAAGACCTTTAAAGGCAACATCTCAGTAACATTAACTATTAAATCACCACAATACCAGGAATTCTTGACTGGATGGTTAATACTGAGCACTGTAGCTCTAAGTGTTCTTCAGATGTTACCTAGCCTCACACAAAGCAGGATGTAATCTGATTTCTTTTGTAACTTCTGATACACTAAGATGCATCCTTTTGTAATGAACATGTATATTCAGTATAAAATCGCTTACTGGTTTTCCTTGTGGCCCTTCTGGCCCAGGGAAGCCTATATCTCCTATAGGTCCTCTGTCACCCTAAGAAAGAAGAAAACACGTATATAAATCTGCATGTAAAATTTTGCATTCAGTGTTTGAAATATTTGTGTATTATCACAAGAGTCCATAACTCAAATCTGTACTTACAGGTTCCCCTGGCATCCCTGGGGACCCGGGAGATCCCGTCTTTCCCTGCAAAAAGAGAACATTACAAATTCAAATTACTAGGAAGCAAAACATAATTTCTCTTAGGTCAAAAATAAGAGAGGATATATATTTGAGTGAAATATTCATGTTACTGTTCATTAAATGCTTTAAGAGAGCAAAAATAAATATTTTGCCAGATTTTTTTAATATTTGTGCCATGTTAAACTGGCTCTTGTGTATAACATAACTCAATCCCTTGGTCGTCTTTACCCTTTCTGAATACTGAGATAAAGTTTTCATGAAATTTTCTTTTACATCACCATGATTTCCTTCTTGAGCAGTCATAGTCAGATCAAAGTTTATCACTGCATATGTGAAATCAAGATTTTTTCCTTCAGGTACTTCCTAGTCCTGATTTTTTTTAAAGTGAGTTTATTACTGACTTAACACCTTTTGCAAATTTTCTTCATGCTCTTTTTCAGCCACTTTTATTGTCGTTTTATGTTCAGCCTGCCAGAATTCACAATCCTTTTTCATCTCATCATTTAGATGGTGATTTTAAATGTCTTTGTTTTTTTAAATGATGCCTTGCTTTTAACACCTATCTGGTTCAGCCCCAGACAAGAGTCTATTACCCTGAATCTACATTTCCTGGAAATATCCTTAGACCAGATCATCAGCTGACTTGTACAAGTGGGGGATCTAATACATCAATGCCAGTAACAACTTCAGGAACAATAGGACTGAGGATTCGTGCTGAGGAAATAGGCATTGGTGGCAATTCTTGCAGTATCTCAGTCCAAGCTTCCCTGATTCTATGATTCTATGATAATCCCGCTCAATTCTATGATTCTGCTAAAATGAGAGATTTATATTCCCAAATGGGAAAAAGGGTCCACTATTCAATCTAGGGAATAATGCCAGGCAAAGAGGACAAATTCTCTTCCAGTAAGATATGTGGATATATTTCAAAAACTCTTCCTAGACTACTAAGAAATATTGTCTCTCATACGTCTATTAATTTGTTAATTAAAACTGCTTAGCATAAAATGTTAAAACAAATAATTTATTTCAGTGGATTTTATTAGAATTAAATGTAATCAACAGAATGCAACTCCATCAGTGATGAAGGGAACTCATTAAATATTTCATATCCAGCTAGAACAGAGAGCAACAAGAATAAGACTTGGAACATATCCAGTGGGAAATACACAGGGAATGAACAATTGTAATCATCCTACTGCATTATTGATTCACAGCGTGAAATATATTTCAGAGCAACAAACTCTGAAACTCATACATGGGCTATAAAACTCAGAGAAATACTTCGCTTTTCCCCTTAAATGTGCAATTTTACCTTGTTTTAGGAGAACTTAACTAAATTAAGCTATTTAAGCTGATGTTCTCTCTTGGAACTCACAGTAAATAGACTAAATCAGTGGCTAATGGGAATGGGAGTGCATAGACACAAACTTCTCTTTATTTCACGAAACACACATTTATAATTTAAAAATGGTTCCTGAATGGATTGGTAGCCACTGAAATTTAATAATAAATGTATTTGCATATAAATAACTCCATATTGCCTCCTGAAATATGGATAAACTTTTTTATTAAACTGTGAATGCAATCTAAAAAAAAGTTGTCTTCATTTACTTTAGGAACACAAATGAATAATTATAATTTCAATTTATCATTAGTTAAATTTACTTTCACCTACCACAAAGTTTCTGGATGATTATCAAAAACTTCTCTGAATACCACATGTAAATAGCTGACAAAGCATTGCCCTAAAGCAAATATTTGATCAACTTGATATGCAGATCCTTGTAGATTGCAATAACTAACATTCGTAATTTTTCTTTGTGATAGAAAGATGCTCAGAAATCTGTGCATGCCCAGGAACACAGAAAATGTCTTTATCTATATTAAACTGAGGCAATGAGAACAATCTCATATGCTTTCTTAACTGAGCATATGCAGCTTCAAATTCCAGCTTTATCATGTATTCATACCATTCCCTCCTGTCATTTTAAAAATAATATGAACCCTTAGTGGTAATAAAACTCTAATCTCTTTGGGAAAAACACATCATTTTCATACCTGCCTATAAAGCATTAGCCAAGCATTGGTGTTCCACAAACAGTGATCGAGATGACAGCTCAGCACCTTGCTTGACCTGTTTTTTCAGCTTCTAACAAACTGAGTTTTCTTTAATGAATATACATACCGGTGTCCCTGCTACTCCTGGCGTGCCAGCTGGTCCACGGTCACCCTGAAGAAAAGATAAATCTATACTTAAATGGTAACAATCAAACAGAAGTTTGTTTGTGGATTCCCATTAAAACCTAAGGAAGGATTACTCAGTGAACTGAAAATGAGGACAAGAGCCACGCTCTGCTAAATGCTAATATTTAGCTCTGCCACTGACTCATTTTACAGACTTGAGCAAGTAACTTAAATCCTTTGTTTAGGTTCTCTTGTACAATATAATAATTTCCATGCTATCCCTTATACTCTGCTTGAAGCCTTCCTTGAAAAGGGATGGAAAGTCCCTAACTTATCTGTAGTTTTCCAAATAACTATCATTTGTCGTCATGACAATGACCAAAATTCACATAGGGTAATTCACCAGCATATCAACATCCCCATATTTAAGATGTATCTTTCAAAGAAGTTTTCACCTTCTTGCTACCCAGTCACCAGTTTGCTGCAAGTCAGCATCCTCCATTTGCATGTGCCACGGTCCTTTCAGGGCAAAATTTCTCCTTTTAGCATACAGCCACCTTCACCTATGCTTTAAGCTAAGACAATGGCTTTTGTGCTGGAGCTGATGAGTTATGGGCACAAATTCATCTTTCTCTCTTGAGAGGACTATAACCCAAAGCAGACAGATGGAGCTCACCAGTGGTAAAACTCTACACAGTGAGATTTGCCCTAACCCACTGCTGACGTGTATTGGTCTGTAAAACTACACTCTGCTAGTATAACGTTGGTTAAAAATGTAAGAAAAAAACCAGGCGCCTAGTTTCTATAAGCGTGTAAGAAAAGCCCTGGCACAGTTAAAGCCATACTAACAGGAGAATATTTTTGTGAGATGAGTTTACGTTACCTGGAGCTGTTTTGCAAAAGCTCTGCCAACATAGCTACAGCCCTGTTCTGTTGTGCAGAAGAGGCCCTGGAGATGGTGGGATTTCTGGTTTCTGTTCTTATACCTAGTGCTGATTTGTCTCATTCTCATCATTTTGTTCAGGTAGCGCAATGATAATGCTGGGAATTAGAAACACTTAACTCCATCAGACAAAGTGTAGACAGATGACAAGTTAAATGTCTGACCTTGCGTCCGGAGGGAGAAGCTTGCTTACAGGCCACAGTTCAACCTCTCCTGCTCTGGAGGCTAACAGAAGTCACTTAATGCAAGTTCACCCCTCAGTGAGGAACATGCACCTCAGGAACACTTGAGCACTGAGTACCTGGAGCAGGGCATATTGGCTGGAGCACTGCACTCTGTCCCTGTGGTTATTCTGGACCCAGAACTTGTATCGTGGTGTTTTCCCTATACGCTGGCTATGACAGTGAAGCTTAGAAATTCCTAGCACTTCCCTTGCAACTTTTTTCTTTTAAGGATTATTCTGCTCCTTTCAGCAATCTGATTCGCAGCATGGATGCACAAACCACTGTGTCAGCACAGCTGAGGGAAGGGACATTTTAACATGAGGACACAAAGTTTTTAAGACCGTTCATGAAATTCCCATGAAATTACAGCCAACGCTGTCTGTGGAAGATGGCATTCTGCTACACAGATATACCTAATAGCTCTAAATGCACCAGCATGCACTGTACTGTTGGGAGTGGCAGGCAGACTCTGGGATTCCGTTCATTTATTTGCACCAGACATGTGGAATTTTGACCAAATTTAGTTAAGGAAAGGATATTTTTGCTTTGGGAAAGGGCCAAACACTCACTTAGCTTGTTTATACGATCTGCTCCATTGCTTATTCCCTTTATTTAATTCTTGTCCCCACTTCGTCTCAGTTAGACCTGTAATAGCTCCCTGTGTTTATTCATTCTGAAATCAGATTAGTCTTTAATTGCTTGTAAATTGTAGTCTTCCAGAGCAAGAATCATCTCGTGTAATTTAAATATCTAGTATAGACACCTACCTTAGATCTTGTCACTCTCTGCACAAGGAGTAATGCACAGTGATATTGACAGAAACTTTTCATTTACATTGCTTTTTGATGAAGAATAAGTTTCAGTAAACTATTTTTGTATGAAGTCATTGAATAACATGTAATTAAAAAAGCTGAATAAATATTCAATTAAAAAAATTACTCTTTTTTCTTCTTAAATGTAGAAGATATGGGCAAAATCAAACTGTTTTCACTGACAGAAAATATATTTACAGATTTTTTCATTTTGCCCATATTTTTTGGGCATGAATTTTTTGTACTTTGCCATATTTAGAAATAAATACCAAAATCTTGGTATTTTGGTATTTAGCATTTCATGACAAGCTTTTCTCTAAATTCCTATCAGCCTCCACAACTAGAAAGTGAAAGGCTGAAACATGCCACCAGCTGAAGGAAAGGATCATTTCCTAGCACTGGAATGCAGACTTGAACTACAGGAAGGAGTTGGAGAATGTGATACGGTTCGGGATGTGCTATGGTGGCACCATACACGCAGTACGGAGTGCAAGAAAAGCAAAACAGAAACAAGGGGTGTTTTTTAGAATACTGAGCAACAGCCTGAGAAAAGAGATTTTTGCTCACTTTGGAGCAGGATGCAATACAACAGGAACTGTAGGGAATCAGTCTCTCCCTCTATTTCTACTCTTTTCAACATTTTTACACTCATCTGAAATGGTCTTTTTTTTTGTATGGAAGTCGTGCATGCACTAGGTCTAGACTAATTCAGGTACAAAATTCTTCTCAGATCTGTAGCTGTGCTGTAAGTCTTAGAACAAGACAGACAGACTGTAAGCATAAGACAATGTTCAATAGAAAACAAGAACTAGTGACCGTACTTAGGAACATGTTAACTATATTACTATCAAGTAATATACTTACATATAGTGTCTGTGTACATATACATATAAAAACAAATAGTGTATATATATAGTATATAGTAGTATTCTATGAAGTTAAGAAAACAAAATATTACAAGGCCTCCTACAAACAACTTTTCACTTGCGGAAAATGAAATTTTATGTTGGGTGAGTATAGGATTTAGATCCACAGTAAAGGAAAAAAAGAAAATACAGATAAATATGCAAATATTTTTCACACAGAAACATTAACTTACACAAAAAAAATTCAAACAAGGTTTCAGAAAACATTTAGCTGCAGATAGTTGCCACTAAGAAGCCATGACTTCTTTTTAAGAGTCCTACCTTTTCCCCTGGGAGTCCTTCCAGTCCTGGTAATCCCATCGGTCCTGGGTCTCCCTGATTTTTTTTTTTTTAATTAAAAAGGATTGCATACATTAGAATTTCTGTACTCTGCATGAGAAATGTTGAACAGCAAGCAACAGCAGATTATTTAACTTGACATTAGTAAAACAGCTAACCAGTTATTAGGTGAACAGATTTCCTTATGCCTTATTTTAGTGATCTGTGAATTAAGCTTTTCCCAGAGACATTGTGTGAATATTTGAGCAGCGGTTTTAATTTTGATGACTAATGTAATCCAGAAGACTCTCCTCCAGTGTTCTTGCAAGCCAAGGTTAGCTCTAAAGCACCTCCAGGCGGTAGAGCCTCGGGGTGTAAGCATATGCCATCAACCAGAGAACCAACCTCCAAGCAATTCTGTCCTCAGTTCCCTAAACAAAGCTTACTCTGCAGCAAGGGACACACAGACTAGGTCCCTGTGTAGGTCTTCAAGTTTTGAAAGAAAACCAGAAACACGCTCCACTGGAGAAATCAGTTTAATGTATAGAGCGGGGAGGCCCTTTTAATTCTTTTTCTTTTTTTAAAGAAAATCGATAATTTACCATAGAGATTTAAACTACAAATCCAACAAATCCAGTATTTCAGCAATTCTCAGTTAAATGAAAAGTCACAGCAAATTCCCGCCCGGATTTCATGAAGTCTCTGGCAGATCTCACTTTCCACACCTAAACTCTGTTTGGGAGATGATGCTTCCTGAGTAGGAAGTGAATGCTGGTACAGAAAGACGTATTCAGCTTCTGGGCATTATGATGAAACAAAAAAAGAGGCTTTGTGACTTTTTTTTTTTTTTGAAAATTGGTTAATCAACTGTTTTAGGAAACTATCTCACAACTCCATGTTTTGCTGTGAGTGCTGAGGGGTTCTGTTTTGGGTTTCTTATTGTCCTTGAGGAGCACAGTTATCACATTGGTTCATAGATCAAAGTTCAGTTTTTCATGTAGCTGGCTCTCCATTAACACTTGGCAAGGAATCAAACATGATCCTAGGCCCTGCACAGGTTGGCTGAGTGGGGATTATGCACCTTCATGATAGATGAAGTCCTAGCCAGCTGTTAAAAATGTTACCTTCCCATACCACTTTGGTCTTGGCTGGGTTAGTCTGAGCTAGCTGCGCTTAATTCTGCTGCTATTTTTGTGTAGATACTGTGTCTGCACTGCTAGGAAAAAAGATACAACTAAATGGTACTGGCATGCTGCTTTCATGAGTAGAGACGTTTCTCAGTAGTTTCACACTGATACTGAAGAGAAAGACTCTATGATATGGACCTCAGTCAGAAGGCAAGAACCCTTCAACAGAGAAGACACTCATCATCATCTTCCAAATACTGTGGCCTGATATGTTAGATAAGGCCAGTCTCTAGTGACATCCCTTTAAAGGTCTTTTCCAACCCAAACTATTCTATGATTCTGTGACATTTGAACAGTCTATGTGTTGTGCTCTGACCTGATTCTTTACTACCAGGCATCCAAGATGTTGGCTGAACCATCTCCTTATTTATTTTGCCCAAGATTAACAATTCGAAGACAGGACAGCAGCTGGAGAGCTCAAGTGTCAGCTTCTTAGTGGTTGAATGAACTCCTGAATGTGTTAAGGAACTCTGTCAGTATTCTCTGAAGTAGTAATTTGTTTCATTAGCAGCAGACATAGCTGTTCTTTACTTTGCTGGAAGGGATGCGATTTTGTTTCAAAAATTATCTCCAATATTTTTCAGGGTTTCCTGATCTTTATCAAGTAGACAATTTATCAGCACATCACAGGGAACGTAGTCCAATTGGGTACAATTTTCTTTCCTAATTAGCTCAGCTTCTACTGCTTTTATCAGCAAGCTCTTCTCATCAATTTCCATGAGCTGACACATGGTACTCATCCTGATTCAGTCATACTGCCTGTAGTTCGAAAGAGGTTGCAGTGTTATAGTGCTGTAACTATCATTATGCAGTTATGTGATGTTCCTTAGACTTGAAAACGAAGTACACAATGTATTGAAATTTTAACTGCTGTGGAAGCACCTATCCAATTTTTAATACAATATCCATTTAAAATGACACTTGATACTATCATACTTTTTGGGCTAAACCATCAATACTCAAATTTTACTACTATCTTTTGGGTATTTTCACTGATGTCCAGTCATCAAGACGCAATACCTGTAAGTTTCAACTTTGCCACCTTCAAGGCTAGGAACTGTAGTGACAAATCACAAGCTAATGACAAATATAGTTTCTCTATTACAAAGGCAAGTGACATCACATGTCAAGGACTTTGGGAAAAATGTACACCCAGTCAGGATTTGGATCTACATTCTGCTGGCAGCTAGCCCTATGCAACTGCTCAAGATTCTTCTGCTAGTTGTCCTTCCCCTCCTCATAATTTTTCAAGAAAGATCATGTCAAAAGGACATAACACAATGCTTAAAGGAAAAAAATATCAAAAGTTAAATAGATCTGCTTTTGAATGTCAAACTGCATAGTTGAAAGGTATAGTGGCTCCCATGGTCATCATCATCTTGCTCACCAGAAGCAATGTGATCATACTGTAACTAACCATCATGCCATTTCCAAAGAAAACATCAACTTCTAGTTGTTACTAGCTAGCATGATGTAGCACGCTGTCCTTTCTCCCTTATCACTTTCAAATTTAATGTTGAGAACAATCTAATCGCTCCTAAGGTATTTTCTACTTTTAGAATCATAGAATCATTAAGGTTGGAAGAGACCTCTAAGATCATCGAGTCCAACCGTCAACCCAACATCACCATGCCCACTAAACCATGTCCCTAAGCGCCTCATCTACATGTCT